TTTCTTTGTGTAGGGGTAATCTACAATACAGCCTTACCAATAGCCTCTAGCTCTACTCTACAGTATACACTATTTGATTTTTTACCAAAATGTATATGAAAATGTTCTATGTACTTTTAGTCATTGTTCCAAGCAACCATGTAATAAAAAAAAAGCTGGTTTAGGATTCAGTATGCATTTAATAAACTACAACGCCAAATCCGACAATGTCTTAAGGCAAAAGTGTGTATAACTCTTCTGAGTGGCTACCACCTCTCTGATCTCTCTCCAAGATTTTGGTGGCTCCTGCAGGTCTTTGTATTCTCAATGTTGGTGCTGCTATTGTGCATGTATCATGTTGTTTGTATGTTTGTATCATTGGTAACACCTGCTGTTAGTTTTAGAGATCTGCGACTTGTTATTCCGAGGTCTTTGACTGAGATAGACTGGCCACTGGTCCAGGGGTACCCCTCCTTTCTACCCAGTGCGTGCTGGGATTGACTGCACCATAATGTCTCCTATACACCTCAAAGCCTGTTCTAATTCCCAGGTTATCAAATACAGTGTGTTCAATTAGTTGCAATCTGAAACTTTACCGCTATATGCCACTAAATCCTACACACTGGTCCTATAAGTCAAGCTAGTGGACTGGAGTTGGGAACAACTATCCCACATGATTATGTTGGCCGTTAAAATACATTAAAATGCATATTTTATACTGTTGTTTGGAGGTGCTAAGGTGGTGTGGGCTCTTTCCAAAACTCTTGACTGAGGCATTGACTGCAGTGGAAAAAAGTGTAATTATCTTTCACTTGTTTCTTGAATAACATGTTTTTAAGACTCAATAGTTAAGAAAATTGCGTGTTAAATTGGGTGTTTTATACAGTGTACCAAGAGAAGGAAATTTAACAAGGGAGTTTGTGCTTTTCTCTCCTGCTTGTGGTCTAATTATTCCAAAATGATTGCATTTGGAATGATGCCTTGGACCTATAAAATGCTGGAAACAATCAGATCCAAAAGAAACCATTTAAATATTGTTATTGGAAATGTCACTTGGAATTTGTGGATTTATTTTGCGTAATTAAGCCTCATTCTCTGGAGAAGAGACACTGAAATGCTTCTCTGTACTGTTTGAAGGCACTGATATATTACTGGAATCGTCACAGCTGCCTGAAAGACTGCTGGAACTTCATTTTGCAGCACTTAATGCATTGTGGGTGATACTTCAATATCACACTGTGCAGGGTTTCAAGTGATTTCTGTGTCACAGAGAGCCAGGAATAAACCTTCTGTTTACCTGATGTTTTATGCAACTAAAGGAATAGTTTCAATGAATCAAAAGCAGAGAACAAAGGACTCAGTTACGATGTGATGTGTAACATTGGCTGCGTGAGAGAGCAGGTACTGTGTGTGTGTAATACAGATACTTTCATGGCTGCTGTGACTGGGAGTGAAATTCTCCAGCAAGGAAAATGTATCAGTCTAATTGGCACTGTGTTTGAAATGCATCATCTGTGGACAGACAATGGAACAGCATGGCAGTGAGTGGCTCTTTGGTGAGTGTGTGAATGTGTGTGTGTGAGAGAGACTGTGTGCAGCGGAGAGTGTGTGGCACTTTTGCATGTGAAGAGTCTGTGTATGTAATAAAGCAAATTATTTCCGCGTAAGCGTCCGGTAGGGCCGCTTGTGGCGCAAACTGCCAAAGGTGCACCTTTGTGTAATGCGAGTGACCAACACTTCTTACACAACTCTCTAAGTTATGTAAATAATTGATCTAGTCACGTAATATTCCTGAAGGTTGTGGCATTCAGAGGAAAACAAACACATTATTTTTGTTTTTACACAACACTCTCATGTCAGGTTCCCCCCCACCAGCTTCCCTTCTCTTTCTCTCTTCCTGGGGCATGCGCCAGTACTAGAGCATCTGAATCGCTCAGTCAGCTTCTTTCCCCCGTGAAAAAGCACTTTTCATCTCTTATTGGTTTGTGTGTTAGTTTTCTTTTTTTTGTTCCTTCCTTGAAAAGTTTGCTGTCCCAGAAGAAGGAGGAGGAGGTAACTAACGGTCCCAGAAACTGGCCTGTTCCAAGCTGTGCTGCGCTGTACTCTGCAGCCTACCTGCGCACATTTTGTCTGCAGTCGCTATTTAAGGAGCGAGAAATGCTATTAATATCTTTCTACTGTTTCCACCTTTCTCCTCTCCCTCCCTTCTTTTTTTACTCTGCTCACGACACAGTCTCTCCTCCTTCTCACTCTCTGCTAACTCACCTCTTTCCTACCTTTACTCCCCTCCGGACGATGCTCAATAGTTCCTCTCTTTATTGCTTGTTTGTTAGCGCTTAGCTGCTGTTAGCATTGTGTAAGGAGTTGTGTGTTCAATTCTGTTAACACAGTAAGGTGTGAAGGTGACACCTGACACAGGTTCATATACATGCCTGTCAGCCTCTGCTGTAAATAAATCTCATGTTCTAATTTTGCCTGGCACATTTGTTTAAGCAGGTCTATACTGTATGTTTATCTGTGCATGTCCTTGTGGAAGGTGTCACTGCAAGTGTGTGTTCAATAATTGGGACTGTTTGTGTGTTTGTTTACCGGCTGCGTGTGCACCGATTGCGGGTCAATTCCTGAAAGCCGTCAGGGCCTCATCGATCAGGGCTGGCGCCGCACATACACATACTCCTACACGTACAGGTACAGGTACAGGTACAGGTATAGTGACATTAACCTGAGGGCCCTTTTACTTTAAGTCCAACTTCATCCCCCAGCTGCTCTTTTTTCTCCTTTTTTCCTACTCCTAACCCATCGTTTCAGACTGCTCTTTCTTACTTTTTCTATTGTCAACCATCTGTCTCTCTCGGTTTCTCTACATCTTCCCTCTCAGTCTTCTTCATCACCCTCTCCTCTCCCTCATCTGTTGTGTGTAACTGATAGTAGCTGCTTTATCATCCAGTGGCAATTGAATCAAAAGTGCATTCTCCCACAGTCTCTCTCGCCAGGCATGGTGACTGGCATAGAGTGGAGAGTACTAACCTTATAAACACAGTCAGAAACACACACACACACTCTCTCTCTCTCTCTCTCTCTCTCTCTCACACACACAGAAAATGTTGAGTGTGTTTGGGTGCAGTGTAATCGCTGGAGCTGAAAAAGCAATGTGTCTACAGTGACAGGTTCATTCAGGTGTTAGCTCCGTCCCAACCACAAGGTTTCAAAACAATATTACACTGTCCTCTAGTGCATACGCATACAGACAGACACACACACACACGCACCTGAACATTGTTCGCCAACACTCAAAACCAACCAAACAAAACCACTGCAGAAGTTCACACTTTCTGACCATCTCTGAGTGTGCTTTCTTTCAGGCAATGCTGACCTTCAGCTATTATCCCTGTTACTGACAAAGTGATGTAGGTTTACAGTGTCGGCAGAAGTGAGTCAACATGCGTCATCTGACCTGGTCTGATAACCCTTCTCCTAACCAGGGTTACATGAGGCCAGCACCAGGCTTTGGTGAACATACATTTCTGTCAGGATTTAATCTTAATAGGTTTGAATTGGCATTGGAAATTTGCATTTACAGTAGCTGATC